CACTATTGCCTGCTTCTCAGGAAAACATAAGCCAGATAACGTAAATCATCTTATGAAAGAATTTTTTGAAGAAGTAGCTTATTTGAGAGAAAATGGCTTGAAAGTTGGTATGTTTAACACCACATTAAAAAAATTTAATATCCGTATTTTTACATGCGATTCGCCGGCGCGTGCTTTTATAACTAGTGTCCAAGGTCACAATTGGGAAAAATGGCTGCCCTAAATGCAGTAAAATCGGCAGCTATGTAAATAAGAGAGTGTGCTTTTCTAAACATACAAGTGGCCTAAGAACAAATATGTCTTTTAAAAATAGAGTAGATAAAGCCCACCATAATTTTAAATCTTTACAACAACAAAATATACTCAAGCAACAAATTTTGGAATGGTTTCTCAATTCCCCTTGGATCCTATGCACCTTGTCGACTTAGGTGTGACTAAAAAACTGTTAAATCTGTTACTCAAAAAAGGAAATATTACCTAAATGAATGACAAATTTAATTTCGTTTCTCATTGGGTACCATCTGAGTTCGGAAGGGTGTGTAGAAATTTAGATGATATCGGGAATTGAAAGTCCACAGAGTATAGGCAATTTTTGTTGTATTCGGGAATATTCGTTTTTAAAAAAAAATTTGATGACGATTTATTTTATCATTTTATTTTATTGCATGCCAGTATACGCATTCTCTCTTGTGAAAGGTCCTACAAAACTGAGACCAATATAGTAAAAGGATTATTGCAAGATTTTGTTCGTTTGTTTGGAAATATATATGGCGATCATTTGATAAGTTTTAATATTCATGGCCTTCTTCATTTACCTGATTGTGCTAAAGATTTCGGACCATTAGATTCTTTCTCCGCCTATAAATTAGAAAATTTTATGCAACGTATGAAAAAAATTATAAAAAGTCCCACTAATATATTACAGCAACTATTTTTAAGACTCGAGGAAAGAAAAAGTTTAGAACAAAATCAATTAAAAATTGGACAATTTTCGATTAATCCTAAGAAAGAAAAAGACTCATTTTGTTTTAGCGAAATCACAGGACCTTTTAAAGTTATAGAGTCGCGTTTAGAATCGGGAGAAGAGATAGTAATTGGATACAGTTTTAAAGAATTAAGTAATTACTTTAGTGAACCCTTTGAATCTTTTTCTTCTCTTGGTATTTTACTTGCAAGTGAAAAGAAAAATTTCAAAAAGTATTATTCAGTACAAATATTTTTGTGTTCCATTTGAAAATAAATTTATCTTAATTCCCGTTCTTCATCACTTCTTTCACGGCTTTTCGAACTAGTTATGTTTCATTAAATCGCTTAATATTAAAAATCTAAGTCTTATACTACTAATAATATTTTTTTGTTTTCAATACTTTACATGAAATTCCCATTAGAGAAATGGACAAATTCCATTATTTTCGGGGATTCTGAACCGGTCGCCTCCACATCAATGGGAGCAAGGAAGAAGGTGAAGCTTTCCTCCTATTTAAACTTCGCTTCTCATCAAGGTAAATTGTGATTAAGATAAATATTAATTAAGTGTACTAATGAAATCTATTTCAAGTTATGAATTCACAATTGGACTAGAGTACACCGTTAACCGAGTCTTCTCCGCCGGTGTCGAATCCCAATAAAGGTAAAAGGAAAACCATTTGTTTAAATATTTTAACTTATCTATTCTTCCATCGTTACAGATGTAATGGAGATGTTGCATCATATTTTTAATAAACAGTGTGACCTAGAGGCCCGGATGGACAAGATAGAAGAGAATGTATGTAATTGCCTCTCATTTTGTTCATTTATTCCCAAATGTACAGGCTTACCGGGTAAGTCATCCTGATATTTAAGGACATTTATTATATAGGTCACTTCTCATTCAGCTAGTCATTACCATTTCATTAATTAGAAATGACCTAAATGAATATCCTTAAGTATCTAGGACCACTTTCCCGGACCCTGTATTGATTTCAATATATACTCCGAAAAAAGTCAGCTAAATATATTGCTCTCAACACATGATTTGGTAACTATAACCAAATAATGTAGCTATAATCAAATCATGTGTTGAGAAAAACATATTTAGTTGACGTAACTAAACTGTGTTTTACGTGTACATATGTATGTTATTTATACAATTTAGATGATCCAAAAACCTGACATGTTGACACACCATAAAGCCGTTAGGAAGACTAAAGTTCTCAACAAGAAGGTGCATCAAATAATTTGCAAAATAAGTGGAGAGACTGGAGAGGATCTCCATAATGAGCTCAACGACATCCTGCCTATGATGTCCATTGACGCAGTCTTTGACATGGAGGAGAAGCTCCATGATACAACCTACCAGGACGCGGTTGTAAGTATTCTTTTATCTGTATATTATATCAAATAAAACACCTCTTTGAGGTAGAATTTTCGAGTGACGAAAGCTGAACTAGAAACACAAAATTTATGATATCAATTTCGTGCCGAAAATTATACGCATTTTTTACCTGCCTTTGAAACGTACGGAAAATCTTTTCTATTCATACGAATCGTTGCAAAAGTTCTGTTATTATTTTGTGTTTCTAGCAGTAAACGGAATTTCGCAACGTTCCGAATAAATAAAAAAAGATTTTCCGTACGTTTCAAAGGCAGTTAAAAAATGCGTATAATTTTCGTCACGAAATCTATATCATAAATTTTTTGTTTCTAGTTCAGCTTTCGTCACTCGAAAATTTTATCTCAAAGAGGTGTTTTATTTGATATCAATTATTTTGGAGTAGCAAATTTAAAATCAACAATAATCTAAATGTTTTATTTTTCTCAAACAAATTGCTAAAATATTATCTTAATCTAAATTATGTATTCAAATCGATGTGTCCATTGAAACACATAATTGTTCGAATACGGAATAAAGCGAAAAGAATGATCATATCCTTTGTATTCGAAAAAATAAAAAAAATATGAGATATGATAGAAACCTATGAACTTGGTACCAACTATGGATACAATAAACAACTATATTCGTATAATAGTCTCGTAGTTTATTTTTGTTAAGATTTCTACCGGGTGTGGGGCGCACACATGTCATTTTTTTGAGAAGTTTTACTTCTATCACGTGTACGCTGTTGCACTCGTGCTATTAAACTAATGCTTTTTTCTCCAGTACTTTTGATCAGTGGCAATTTATACATATGTATGTAAGTAGTAGCGGCACATTGGGTGATCTAAATGCATTCATACGTACATATTTATGTACAACTATAGGTAATATTGTACGCGTCAGGTTGGTTAAGTGCGGGTGATAAACCCATGTAGCATATTTAAATACTGTGTAGATACCTGCAAGTAAAATGGGGAAAATGTTACAATTTCGGCATGTGGCTGAAAAAAACTCTAATAAATAATATAAAAAAAACTTTTTAATATACAACGCTTTTATAAATGGACTAAAAAGTAGAAAATAATATTTCTCAGTCCCATAGAATTTGTTTTGATAACTTTTGATTTTGAAATTTTAGCAAAAGTCATTATAAACAATCTATGAAATTGAAAATGAAAAGCGTGGAGCGCATGCAATACAAAGCATTCGATTTAATTGACAATAGTCAAACTACATAACGTAGACCTAAAATTTCTACAGCGAAAGTAGAATTTTGAAATCGATTTTAAGCGGTCGTTATTCATATACCCACATACATACATACATATATTACTTTTCATATCAATTCAAGTGTATTACATGCGCCCCACGCTTTTCATTTTCAATTTCATAGATTGTTTATAATGACTTTTGCTAAAATTTCAAAATCAAAAGTTATCAAAACAAATTCTATGGGACTGAGAAATATTATTTTCTACTTTTTAGTCCATTTATAAAAGCGTTGTATATTAAAAAGTTTTTTTTTAATTATTTATTTTCTACTTTTTAGTCCTGTCTGAATAAAATTTTGCAATAGATATTAAAATAATTCAACGATATTAATAGAAAGGTGCACACACATGCATTTACATATGTATGTACATACAAACGAGCACCAATTAATTTTATTTAAAGAAATGGCGTGTCGTCTATTTCCGCTGTAGCAAACGTAGTACATAGGGCGACATCTAGATGTCATCTACCTCGCCCTATTCACTACAGATGTCGCCCTATGCACTATGCTTTTTTAGTGGAACTTTTCAAAGCAAAGCTTTTATGGTGTCGGACACACAACATTGAAAGTTTCTGGATCCACAACATTGAAAGTTTCTGGACGCACAACATTGCAAGTTCATAAAAGCGTTGTAAAATACACATAAATTGTGGCTTCCAAGACATGTACGAAGTGATTAGCACAGCTGCATCCTTCAACTTGTCAACTCGCGGGAAATTCCCCAACTTGCAGAGAATTTCGGTTTAAGTGGCAATCGGGGAATGGGCAATTTTTTTCGGGGAACTGGGTATGTTATTTGTATATCTTAAAGTAACCAAATTAGATGGCTTTGTTAATTTTTAACCATTTGACCCTTTTTGGAGCGACATTTTTTCAATTTGAATCGCAATATCTCCACAACAAGCGTTTTCCCAGATATAAGCTATATACCAGATGAAAGCTAAGATTTTAGGCTAGACTTGTGGAAACTTAGAATAAAATCGACTGACCAGTTTTTGAGAAAATTCCCGAAATGTATATTTTCAGCAGCCCGATTTTTGGTTTTCAGGCGATCACGTTATGACATATTTATATTTTATAAACGCAAAAGACAGCGTTAGATAGCTTGTTTTAAGACCCTTCTACCGATATCCACATTAATGACATGGACTGAGTAGTGTGGCCTCAGTGGTAGTTTAACAAATCGCCTTTTTTCGAATTTCAGGCAGCAGCCACGCCCACAAAGGCATACGAATCAAGACATCCTGGAACAAAACCTTCTTATTTTTTTTGTACTTTAATTCCTGAAAGTTTGAACAAAATTAAATGATGGTACGTACAGACGCCACATACATACCAAAGCATCTCGTAGTGGAGACACGAACCAAAACACATTTACCTCTATATCCTTCCAACTAGTAGCCGGAACTTAATATATGAGGTATTGTTTGAAAGGTATTGGCCTACAGAATAACACTAAATATGTTGGGTGTACCCACACGCCCCCTTAAACCGGCAAAAGAAAAA